TTTAATATTTTCCTATTTTCCCCGCTCCAACTCCCCCCCACACCCCCACCCCCCTCCTTCCCTCTTTCTCCTTCCCTTCCCAGAGCAGCCCTGGGAAACATCCCCGTCCTCCGTGCCCCGCACAGGGGGAGCACGGTACGCCGAGGACCGGCTCGGGGTAGGGTGCGCAGCTGGAAGCGTCAGGGGAGCGGGGTAGGCGGGTGTGCGGAGCAATCGACCCCATCCCGTGCGGGGCAGGACTCGCCCCTCTCGGCCGGGGGGTGCCGGGTGCCGATGAGCTGAGCCGGTGTCCACCCCGCGGCCGCAGGGTTCGAGTTGGGGCAGACAGCCCCTGCTCTCTGGGTTGTGTTTTCGCTAAAAAAAAAAAAAAAAAAAAAAAAAAAGAGAGAGAGAGAGAGAGAGGGAGAGAGAGAGAGCATGCTGGCTTCCGCCTCAGTCGTCAGAAGTTAAGGTAAGCAGGCCACAAATACGCTGCTATCAGTCGTGAATGGCGGAGTTTATGTCCCAGTGATTTATGACCGTAGACTTAAATGTCGGTTCAAGAAGAGTTCACAAGCTGGGGCTTCCTTCCAGGCAGTGACTGATACCCTTACACTTCGTGTTCAGGCAGCTCTCTCTCCTCTCTTCCCCCCAACCCCCACCTTCCCTCAACTTTGTCTTTATCTTTCAGGAAATCTTTCAGGGGGGCTGCCTGGTTTTTCGTCCTAGAGTCAGAGTTTGGGGCTCGGTTGGGAGTTACGGGGTAAAGATCTGGTGTGCTTGGGAAGTGGGGGGGAAGCGCAACGAAGGAGAGGGTAGGAGAGAGCTGAAGTAGGGAGTGGGGAAAACCAAGCGGACTTGCCTTCCCAAGCAATTTTCATCTGCTGTTTCTGGGCTGTCTGGGTGGAGGGAGAGAAGTTGGTAAAGTGCAGAGCCGTGTATTGCACAAACCGAGACGGAGCCGATAAAACAGGCATTGGAAAGCTTGGGGACCCATTTGTGTTTGTAAAACCTGCCTTTTTGTCTTCGAAGGGGAGAGGAGAGCTCTGCCCATCCCAGGCACCGGCTGGGGTGGTAAATCCACCTCCTCTCCCCTTTCCCGTTAGGACGCTGTCGAGATCGTTGTCTCTCTTAATCCCGCTATTCCCACTTTCTCCTGGAATGACCGGGCGCTCCTCAGGTTACCCCCGCTTCTCTATAACTTTGTAGGAAGTGATTAACTTGGCGAACCCAAACTCGGGATCTGATTTTTTTTTTTTTTTTTAACTTGCTGGCAGACACGGCCGAAGCTCCAATAATATTTTGCCTTCCAAGTAAAGTTGCCTATTGTCTGCAGACCGGCAGCTACGGGAGCAGCGCACCCCGCATCCTCGCTCCGCGCTGCCCGTCCTGCCAGCGCCACAAAACTTCGCAGCGGCCGAAGGAAGGTGAAATATTTGATGTCGCGGTCATGAAAGGCGGGTGCCTTTGTGAAATCACCGCTGGCTGATTGTTTCCTCCTTCTCCTCTGGTAGTGGTGTCTATAGTCTCTCTTTCAAAGGAATTGAGAAAAATCACACCAGGCCTCGATAGCAGAGGCAAGGAGAGGCAAGGAGCTGGAAATTGTGTATGCGCCTCAGATCTCCACTGGCTTATTAGCTTAATAGCATCCAAAGAGCTTGATTAGTGCAATAACAGGGTAACCGCCCTGCTGTAGGTGTGTTACCTTCATTTTGTTACGATCTAACAAAGGGAATACTGTTTTCTAAGAACTTGTATAACTTGAAAGGCATAGAATGAGCTCGTTTGGTGCTTGTGTTGTGTAAGGCTTTTCACCCCTAAGCATTTGTCCTCGTTAGATGTTTTTTGGGGAAAATATCCAGCTGCTTAAGTACAGGGAAAGTGGTAAAAGGAAAGAGGCCCTTCTGATCTGAAAAGACGTGGTTATTTGCCAGCAAGGGGTTAGGAGGACGGTGAGAAACACACTTCAGTTTCTGAGAACAATGTAAGTGCGTGTGGAAACACCTCCTAGATCGGAGGTTATGCACAGGTCTCCTCTCTCATTAATACGGGCGATTCTTTAATTGGTTATTTTCAGGCAGGTGACGAGTAGACTTTAGTTTGGGGGGGGGG